CCTCAATGCTCTTCTGTTTCTCTCAGAACACTCGCTTTTTGTGAAAGCTGCTCTAGAGGAGTGTAGTGCCTCGATGTGTTTCCCAACCACTGTACTCATAGTACTACCTTCCAGAGCTGGTGGTCTGTCGATTAGCACACTAGGAAGATTGGGGTTACGTCCATATACCAGTTGATACGGGCTAAAACCATGCACATTATGTAGAGCATTTTTAGCCATAAGTGCCCAGTTTAATGCTGTCTCCCATTCACAGTCATTCTCAGCTCTTAATTTCTGGAGAATTTCAGTCAGTGTTCTGTTATGACGCTCCAATAAACCATTACTCCATGGACTGTTCGCAGCCGTCGTCTTCACTTCCATATTGAAATTTTCTGCCATGTCACGAACTTCTTCATTATTGAATTCACCGCCATTATCGCTATACAGACATTTTGGGGCTCCGTGTTTTGATAACCAACACTCAAAGAATTTTTTTCACAAATTCTGATGACTTTTTAGATTTCATGATGCTCCCGGAACTAAAACGAGTGAATTCATCGATGACATGCAAGTACCAGAGTCCTGGTTCCAATTCGTGAAGGTCCACAGCTACAGTCTCGTTGAAGTCTGTTGCTAACGGCAATCCTACAACAGGTCTCGGTACTGGTCTTTTGTACTTCACACAAGTTTTACAACCTTCACATACAGACTGTAATAACTCCATCGTTTCTTTGTCCGTTGTCCCAGCACTTTTCAATAACTGATCCAGTCTTTCTTGCGTTGCATGTCCAAACTGTTTGTGAAGTTTCATCACTAATTTTTTTCTTTTCGGCTTTGCTCATGTTTTCCGTAACTTCTAGAATTTCCTCTTTCAATAAGCTGTCCTTGTTTGTAGACGAATCTTTCAGAATTCTTAAACAGTAATGTCCACTTGTAGTGAATTCCAGGCTCACTGGCTGATTAAACATACTTGCTCTGTCATTTTTTAAGTCCAGAACTGTTTCTGCCTTTTCAGTGAAAATTTAGTCAATAAAAGAGGGATGCCAGCTTTTACAACTTCTGTTTCTATGTTGCATTTTGTTTTCCCAATGACAGCTGGTATTGTGGCGCGTTGGAATGAGTAGACTATTTTTCCATCTCCAAACTTGAATGCTCGACGACTTGTGACTGTTGGTATTTTCTCATGCGTTTCCTTACAGAACAAATCAAACCATTTCTCTCCACACACTGTAAGGGTGCAAGCTGTTTCGATTACTGCTGATCCTAAAGTCTCTAAGATGAAAATCTCATTCATCGTTGGTTGATCTTTTGTAAGTAAAGTAACATTGCAATCCTCAACCGTGTCCGAGTCACATTCTGCCAACTGCACAGAAGCTCTTTTCTCTGGACAGTTTTTTGCCCGATGAAACACACTCTGACATATTGCAAACTTAGTTCTTTTACCAAACTTGTTTAGGGGATTTGTCCCTTTTTGCTTGTTGTTTAGTTTCTTCTGTTGTGTGAAAAATACAGGTTATTGTTTAATCGTAAGGACTGGGTTATCAGTTTTCACATCTGAACTAGAACTCACACTTTTACCAAAAATCCTTTGTAATGCCGACTCCATAGCTTTGTACTTGAGGTCTGTGCATGCAGTTAATGCTAACTGTCTTTCTTGTATGGAAAGTCCTGCATTGTCCAAGATTTTAAAGGCAAGAACTGCCTCAGGGAGTGCCATGTCAAATTTTTTGGCCTTGTATCTTTTATCAAACTCAACAATGTAGTCAGATATTTTCATATTTTCTGTTTTCTTAAACAAATCAACGTTTTTATAGGCCTCATATGCCTTGTCTTTATCATTTCGAAGAAAAACTTTATCTAATTGTGTCATTATTTTCTTCTTACCGTCTTCTTTTCCTAATTCCTCCGCTGGAAGCTCCATTGCTGTTTCTCTAGCATTTCCAGTCAGGGACAATGACACAGCCAGGGCTTGTTTTTCTTTTTACAGTTCTGTTACCAGTTGCAACACTGCAACTTCGTTTTCCATGTTTCATAGGTCATGGACTTTTGATCAAATGCTGGAGGGTTCTTGAAGCTACTAGCCATGGTTTTTCTCTGTTTACACGCTCTGGTAGTGTAGATTGAAATTTGTTCAAATCATGACCCCCGTGGTTAGGGTTGGGCTACAATGGCCGACCAAAGTTTTGCTTACATAGATATATAGGAAAATTCTTTAAAAATCTTTTTCTAAAGAATAGCAAATCCATAATTAATCATATTTATATGGAAGCATCTTCAGATAGTGTAGATTCCATTTAATGTGTTCAAATCATGACCAAAGTTTCCGGGTACATGGCCTCTTCTCCCTCCTGAGGAACGTTTAGTCTAAAGTGGTAACTAATCACCCAAAACTGTCATTGTCTTGGGGGTGACTTATTGACCCAAAACTCGTAACACCAGACACAGATATTTATATAGGAAAATTCTTTTAAATCTTCTTTTCAAGAATGACAAAGCCATAATTCATCACAATTATATGGAAGCATTCTAAGGTAGAGTAGTTTCCATTTTCTTCAAATCATGACCCCTGGGGTAGGGAAGGGTCACAATGGTCGACCAAAGTTTTACTCAGATAGATATATGTAGGACTATTCTTTTAAAATCTTCTTCTCAAGAATAACAAATCCATAATTGATAACATTCCTATGGAAGCATCCTCAAGTTGTGCAGACTCAAGTTTGTTCAAATCATAACCTCCCGGGGTAAAGACAGGGCCACAATGGCCGACTTAAGTTTTACACAGATATATATGTATGAAACTTCTCATCTTATCAAGAATAGCAAAGCCATGATTGGTCAAGGGAGTACTTTTGGATTTAAACTTTTCAATAATAAACCAGTTTCTATTTTTTTCCTAGCCATGGTGTTCAGGTGAGCGATGTGGCCCATTGTCCTCTTGTTTAATATTACGGGTTGGTATTTTAAAGACTTGACAAAATTCAGGTCTACATTTCAATGAATAATCTAAAATATACCATACAATAACATTAGTTTTTCAAGACATTGAAGTATACATAAATATTTACTCATTGTACTGTGTTTATTTTGACAGGTCTCCCAGGATGTGCTGTTGAAGTATGTAAAGCTAAAGAAGAGGAAGAAATCACCATTTTGACAGGTTTAACTAATGCCTAAATTTATTTTTTAGCTCACCTGAGCTGAAGTCTCAAGTGAGCTTTTTTGATCACATTTTTGTCCGGCGTCCGTCTGTCTGTAAACTTTTTATATTTCGACTTCTTTCCAGAACCACTGGGCCAATTTCAACCAAACTTGCCACAAAGCATTCTTGCTTGAAAGGAATTTGAGTTTCCTGAAATAAAAGGCCAAGCCCTCTTCCAAGGGGAGATAATTATGAATTAGCAAAAAATTCATTACATCTTTTAAAAATCTTCTTCTCCAAAACCATTGGGCCAGGAAAAATGAAACTCATGTTGAAGCATTATCATGTTGTTTAGATTCAGTAGGGGCCACAATGACTGATCAAGGTTTTACATAGAAATATATAGAAAAAAATCTTTGAAAATCTTCTCATAATTGTGAAAACATTGTCAGGTAGTGTGGATTCAAGTTTGTTCAAATCATGACCAACAGGGTAGGGCGAGACCACAATTGATGATAAAAGTTTTACATATGAATGTATGCATTGGAAAATCAAATTTTTGAAGAACTATAAAGCCATGATTGCTCATATCTTTATGTTAATACGTAGTGTTGGTTCATGTTTGTTCAAGTCATGAATGTGAATTAGGGGGAAGGTAGGGTGGGCCGCAATTGGAAATCTATAAATATCAAGGATTTTTTTATCCAAGAACTGAAAAGCAATCTTTAATGTATAGAGGTGGAGGCATCCTCAGGTTGTACAAAGTCATACTGGTTCAAATGAGGGCTACCACGGTTAGGGCAGGGCCACAAAGGGAGGGGGGTGTCAATTGAATAAATAGGAAAAAATCATCTGCTCAAAAGCAGTAAAGGTATTTGTAGTATGGAAGCATCATCGGGTAGTTGGTAGTTTAAAATTTCAGACCCCCAACCCCATCCCTGTTCAAACTACTAAATACTGAAGTAATTTCAGCTTTTATATCCAAGCCAGTGTGCATATGTGAGCGATTTGGCCCATTATATAATTATAATTTAATTTCACTTGTATCAAGCAATTTCATTGGCTGAATAATTTAGAGGAACATATAATATTATGTGTCGCATTACTTGTCTACGCCACAATGAGTTACGTCAAAAGCGTATTAATCCGCTTAACGTTACGTTTAAAATAATGCTCAATTTGAAGTCTTTTTCCGGAGGATATATTGTCTCATTGTCTACACTGAAATTAAATTATAAGGAATGAAGTTAATTTCAACTTATATTATCCGATATAACAAAATTTGGGGCAGTTCACCCACTATTAATTTATAGGTATTACAAAAAGTGTTAGATAGGAAAGTTCTAGAGTAACTATAAGACTCTGTAGATAGGTATCATTAAATAAAGAATGAAGCTAATTTCAACTTGTGTTATCCGATATGATATAACTTGGGACAGTTTACTACGCTTTATAAACCGCGAAGCGGTTTGTAAGAAAGCTTATAATGCAGTTTTTATCATTATTTTTCTTCTGTAAATTAACAACTTCACACACTGAATTGTAAATACAATGTTATTGAATGTCACGATTAAAATAATTTCATGTTAACATCTATAAGAATCTGAACAAAGTCACAATTTATATATGTGTTTAAATTATAAATATTGCTTTGTTAGACAGGTTTGATTGAGTACACTTGGAGGCTGCTATGAATGAACACAAATCATTGAGAAGCGAATGTACAGGTATTTATGTCTATCTGTTAACTCTATTTAATTGTTCAACACTGTATAAGTTCTGAAAACCAAAACATTTTAAATGAGTACATTTGTTATTTATAAACATTGTGTTCCTGATGTAGATAATTCTAGAACAATGTTGTAATTTACAGAAAATCTCCCTGACTGAAGGAAATCAACACAGGATCATAAAGTCACAGGAAAAAGAAATAGAAGTCTGGTGTCAGTCATGTATAGATTTGTGTTACAGAAATCTGTCACAGTGGCAGGTGTTAGTGAGTGTCTTCACATTACCCACGTGTCAACAGACCGGGTCTGGATCAGTGATAATAAAGGCAATCTCATCTTAATTAACACGATAGGTGACAGACTAGATCAAGTGACAGATTTAATTGAATATGGTGCTGGAGTACATACTGTGAATAGTGATAGTTATGTGATTTATTTAGACAGTAACAGTAACATCATTAAACTGTCTACAGATAAAGTAAAGACCGCAGTAATACCATACACAGCACCATGGAGACCACATTGTGTCTACAGCTCCCCCTCCACTGGACACCTGCTGGTCGGGACGTGTAATACTGATACTGATACAGGCCAGGTAAACCGTTACACCAACACAGGAGAACACATACAGACCATACAGCACGACAACACAGGTCAGGGACTGTATAAAGTACCTAACTACATCACAGAGAACCGCAATGGAGATGTTATTGTGTCTGACTATTGGCGTGGTGTAGTGGTGACAGACAGTAAAGGAAGACATCGCTTCTCCTACACAGGTCCTCCATCAGGATCAAAACTAGGACCACTAGGAATCTGTACTGACGCGCTGTCACACATCCTGGTGTCTGATTTTAACACCCACACAGTACATATCATTGATAAAGACGGTCAGTACCTGACACACTTAGATACAGCACAAGGCGGGATAGACAGGATATACAGCCTGAGTTATGATGACATCACCAGGTCTGTGTGGCTCGGTTCATGGGACAACAACCCTGTGAACATTTACAGACTTATCTATGTAGGGGATAATCTGACTGGTAAGTTATACTGAAGTATCATGTTTGTTTACAATGTTTAGTGTTTACAGTATATTATTGTCATTGTTTTATATTTAATTATAAGACATTAAGGTTTAATCATACTAACTGATATTAACATCATTAAGGGATTATCATACTGATAGCTAAAGTGTAATTACATTACATGGTTAATTGAATTCTAACTTGTTGTGTTATGTAACAAGAAATGTTTTTACATGAGGATAATTTATAAGTAATAATGAATAACTAAAAAATTTTTGAAACCAATATATTTTACATTTAATTTGGGTTATTCTAATATGTATTTAGTTGTTAACTTTGTTATCTGTGACAAACTACTCCTTAATTTGTACAGATAAGACCTGACATAGATTTTGCATGATCATCATGATCATGTATAATGTAGTATAAAGTATTCAGTTCTCTGACTGTCAAATAATTTGTAAAACATTTCTCATCGATACTGTCTTCTATTTGGGTTGACATTATCATGATTATATTTTATATTCCTCTGCTAGATGATTTGTAGGTTAAATTCATAGATCATCATAAATGTCAGAAAATGGAAAGATGGTTGTTAAATTGGCGTGGGGTTCATGTGTGTTGGAGGGGGAGGGAGGTTGTAATGTCATAGACCTTATCATTATATGAAATATACTTTGAATACGCCATTCAATGCGTTCAAACAAAAGGATGAGTGACTTAAGCTATCAGAGTTTGCTCCCAATGTTTCGCGCAAAAAAAAAAATCCTGATTTTCATGAGATTTATGTATTATAGGTATTAAACAATGTCTTAAGTGCAGATTTTGATATATCATATTACATGAAAGTACTAAATAATTCCGAGCCAAACTAGTTTCTGAGTCAGGGGTCTAACACACTCAAGCATGCGAGAGGTTCACGGTGAGATACTTTTGACTTGGCGCCTCGTAACAAAATATATATGAAGGATAGGGACGTATTTCAATTTAAACTAAAACATGTTAAACATATTCAAAGGACAATGCGTCACATATCTTATTTTTTTGAAAAGTTTCCAAACTACCGGCCGTCAAGTTAGCCCCAATGTCAACAATTGATATTATAATCACTTTACTCATGTGACATTCCAAGGTTCAATACGCAAACGTTTCACGGAACATTTCATTGGTTTTGTCTGCTAGAGTCAGGAAATGAATACATCAGGTGGTTTGTAGCTAAGTTAACTTTAACGATCACAACAAATTTCAGGAAACAGGAAAAATAGTTGTAAAATGGGTGGGGTGTTAATGTGTGGGATTGAAATATGAGGATTTGGAGGTCGGGGGCGGGGGGAGGGGGCAATGTCCTAGTTCTTATCTTTATATGATATATGTAGTTCTTTTAATAATCCATTTAGACAAAGTTCAATTACAGTGACTTCAAACATTTTGTATAGTGTTGACAGATTTAAACAGCATTGATATTAACACAACTCTGTCTAGGAATGTTGTGTATTTCTGTAGCAGGTGTTCAGTAAATTTACACTGTGTACTTGGTTGACATTCTATACATGTATGTTACTTTTTTGCATGGAATTTTTGTTGATTTCAATTAAACAAATGTCAGCAGTATTTATAAAGTCATATCAGCCAACCCCCCCCCCCCCCAATTTTTTCTTCCTGGGGTGGGTGGTTGGGAAGCAGGTGTCTCTCTTTATCATGGTATTTAATCTTTTTCTTTCAGTACTCTTTTATTGAACAAATCATTATTTCATTTTCTGGTTTTATAATGTTGAAAAGAAAACAAAAATCTTTATAACATGCTTAACATGCTTAATACATGTAAGAACCAAAATGAAAAAAAAAAATCTATTTTCTTTTAAATTCACAGAAAATAAGGTGTACAATTAGAGATTTGCTGATATTCAGTGAAGTTATATAGATAAATTGTGTAGTCAAAATAGTGCTATTTCGACAGTAAAAATGATCTAAAGGGCACAGATATGACAAAAATCTATATTTTCTGTCTTCACTTTTATTTGTGTTTATTTGCTGTGTTAAACAATTCATTATGTTCATGAACAATGTTTTATTGTTTTTAAAACTTCTTAAAGTTTGTTAGATGACTCATAGTTAATTTTTAGCTCTTCTGAGTCAAAGGCTCAAAGAGCTAATACTATGGCCATTTGTGCGGTGTGTGGTGTGCGGTATGCGTAAACTTTTTAGAATATGGGCCATAACTCAAGAAACCCTTGGCCAATCAGTAACAAATTTGTCACAGGGTATCCTTGGCCCATGGGCTATCATTTAAACTAAAATAAGGGTGGGATACTTAAACAAGGGGAGATAATCAGGAGAACAAAACAAAAAGTTATGGTTGTTAAAAAATCTTCATCTCTATAACCACCAGGCAGATTTTCACCAAACTTACATACAAGGATCAGGATATGTCGAAAAATAAAATTTGCACGGGGAATTACCATGGGGCAATGGGCGTAGTCTGAAGGTCACTTCAAAGTTGACCTTAATTTACAATTAATGAAAACGTATATTTTGCCACTATTAGGACTAGGATCAACAAATCTTGTAAGTTGATGCATCTTACGACTTCACATCATGTTAAGTCAAAAGTAGGTCACGGTGGCCTACTTTTTAGCTCAACTGAGCCAAAGACTCAAGTGAGCTTTTCTGATCACAATTTGTCCGTTGTCTGTCGTTGTCGTTGTAGTCATCCTCCTCGTCGTTGTTGTTGTAAACTTTTCACATTTTCATCTTCTTCTCAAGAACCACTGGGTCAATTTCAACCAAACTTGCCATAAAGTATCCTTAGGTGAAGGGGAGTCAAGTTTGTTCAAATTAAGGGCCAAGCCCTATTCTAAGGGGAGATAACTATGAATTACAGAAAAAATTAATGGCATTTAAAAAAAAATCTTCTTCTCAAGAACAACTGGGCCAGGAAAGATGAAACTCTTGTGGAATCATCCTCAGGTAGTGTAGATTCAAGTTTGTTCAAATCATGACCCCTGGGGGTAGGGTATGGCCAAAATGGCCGATCAAAGTTTTACATAGGAACATATTGGAAAAATCTTTAAAAATCTTCTTCTAAAGAACCACTGGGCCAGGAAAGATGAAACTCATGTGGAATCATCCTCAGGTAGTGTAGATTCAAGTTTATTCAAATCATGACCCCCGGGGCTAGGAAGGGGCCAAAATGGCCGACCAAAGTTTTACATAGGAATATACAGGAAAAATCTTTTTAAAATCTTCTTCTTAAGAACCATTGGGCCAGGAAAGATGAAACTCATGTGGAATCATCCCCAGGTAGTGTAGATTCAAGTTTGCTCAAATCATGACCCCTGGGGGTAGGGTGGGGCCAAATGGCCGATTAAAGTTTTACATAGGAATATATAGAAAAACCTTTTAAAATCTTCGTTTCAAGTACTTCAAAGCTATGCTTAGTTATATTTATAGGGAATCATTTTCAGGTAGTGTAGATTCTAGTTTGCTCAAATCTTGACCCCCTGGGGGGTTAATATTCGAGCTCCCTCTCCCCCTCCCCACCCTTCCCAGTAAACTTTCAGTTCTGATCTGATATGTGCTTTCTCCTAGCCAATTGCTCAGGAAAGCGATGTGGCCCCTGGGCCTCTTGTTAAATTTTGCTTGGATTTGTTTTCAAATTGATTTGAAGGCATATTTTGGACCCTTAAAGCCTATGATCATCAAACTTGGTCAGTTGATGCATCTTGGCTCCTCAAACAATATCAACTAAAAAGTAGGTCACCGTGCCCTACTTTTTGAACTTTACGACTTATCTTTTTAAAAACATTGAGTCCCATTATTTCAGACACTGGTAGGTTTATAATCTTAAAATTTTGTACTTCTTGGGACCTTAGAATATATAAATGAAAAAGTAGGTCACTGACCTACTTTTTGAAATTTGCCGACATTTGTTTTCAAATAGATCAAAACGCATATTTTGATTACCTTCAGACCTACGATCATCAAACTTAGTCAGTAGATGCATCTTGGGTCTTTAAAAAATATCGACCAAAATGTAGGTAACGATGACCTACTTTCGACATTTTATGGCTATATTTAAGTACATTAGGTATTAATTGGCTTAGAATCATCAAACTTCAATAGCATTCAATTTCAATAGCAAACCTAGTTAGTAACCACTATTGAAATACAACCACTATTGAAACAAGAAAACATTGATGTAACCATCAATTGTCGCCCGGGAAATATATAACGTAAACATTAAAAATAAATCTTGATCAACAAACCGCTTCGATATGTGTAAAAAGGCATGCGTCTAATTGATGGAGACGATAGTCGCAAATATTTTTTTAAAAAAACTTGTAGTCAGATAAAAATCAAAGAAAAACGATACCATTTTAAACTTGATCAATTCCTCAAGTAAATGTTGGCTGCATAAAATATAAGTTGAAGTTAGACACACGCATCCTTTAGATTTAAAAATGTATTAATTTTTCAATTTTAAAGTATAAAACACGTACTGTGCAGAGTACGTTTTTATCCGAGAAGTAAAATTCGATGTTCTAAAAAAGGGACCTGTCGTTGTTTTTATAGTAAATGATAAGTAACTTTATATATAAAATATAAAAAAAATATGTATTTTTACAGATTCACTGTATGGAAGTAAATATATTTATGTATCTCGTAATTTATAAATGGAAAGAACATTCTGATAAACAATCTTTTCAATGTTTAGAAAACCTTTAATTCTACATAACTACTCCCACCCCAATCCCCATACACCAACAATTAAACTTATATGTATAGAGCAGCCCGGTCCTCCGGGCTGCAATAATTATATCAATAGTGGTTGAGAGTGCATTCAAAAACAAACATAGGTAATAACCACTATTGAAATACCACCACTATTGAAATAATTATATCAACAGTGGTTGAGAGTGCATTTCAATAACAAACAAAGGTAATAACCACTATTGAAATACAACCACTATTGAAATAATTATTTCAATAGTGGTTGATAGTGCATTTCAGTAACA